TCATGGGCCAGCAGATGACGGTGTACAAGAGCGAAGTCCCCCGTTGGCAGACGCAGATGTCTCCGGCTGAGCCCCAGTACTGGTGTCCGTCCGCGGGGGTGACCGAGGACCTGTTCGCGCACGGCGGCTACGATGGGATGCAGAACCAGGCCCAGACCCTGGCCCACAGGAACCTATCACCTTTCCCCGCATTCCCCGGGTAATGACTTCATTAATGTAAACGTTCCCCGTGATGTTACATCTGAACTGTTTAATCAACAACGAGTCAACCATAACGTTCGAATAGAAGTTTGCAATGAGAGTGAACCTTTAATAGATAGAAAAGACTTATCATAGGCCTTAATACATTCATGATCAGATAGTCATTAACGTGTTGATTTGCTTTAATTGCCCGTTCATAAGTCAGTCCACTTCTGAGTCAGATAAAGTGGAACGAAACAAACTTTTGACTATGAGTCACCTTCATCTTATTTCTCTTTATCTAAACTCATATTCATTCAAGGGTTAAACAAGCCAATCATTAATGTCACTGTAGCTTCATTAAAGTTCTTGCCTTACATCTAATGAGGATCAAACTCAGATGATTCACCCCTTAATGTGACCTATTCAATGTACAGTACTGTACAGTTGATACATGTAAAAAAGTTTAAGCTTAGATCAAGTTAATATTAAGGTTTAAGATCAAGGTGTTCTGCTATAAGTCAGAATGGACCCATCTCCAGTTTCATCAATGTATGTTTCTTCTTTTCTTTCAGTATGCCACCTCAGAGACTGTGTGTGATCTGTAGTGATGAGGCTTCTGGTTGCCACTATGGAGTTTTAACCTGCGGGAGCTGCAAAGTCTTTTTTAAGAGAGCAGTTGAAGGTGAGCGAAGTAAGGCTGCTTTTGGAAATGTTGTCTTCTATCGACCAAATAATTTTAATAAATGTTGTGTTCCATCTACCAAATCATTTTAAGCACACATTCTAAGACTACAATTTTCCAAGCCACATATTTATCGTATTGGGACTGTTATGAAAGGGAATAAACCCATTAGCTACAGCAGACAGTTTAACTGCTTTTTTCCCAGAAAGTGTTCTATTTCAAGAACCTTTTAACATCTGGCCGGTGACAGCTGATCAAACACGCCTGTTCTAATAGTCCTGCCCCTTTGTTTTTTCATTTCCCTACTCCAATCTACACTGAGACAGTTGACTTATTTGTTTTGTTGGTGCATGTGTAGTTTCATTCCCACTCTTATATGGTAACATATTACATTATACATGCTCTATAATGTACAAGACTTGAATATTAGGGTGCCTGCAAATGAAAATGTGTCTCCTATGATAACCCCCCCCCCGTGGATCAGTGGGCATTGTTCCCAATACAATAAAATAAAAGATAAAAAGGAATAAATAAAATACACTATTAAAAGGGAGTTGCCACATCAAATGTGACTGACCTTCTATGGTCGTTGTTAAAAGGTCATTAGCAACAGTATCACATTGACCAGCGTTCACTGTGTTCTTCGTCTTGGACTTGTTCTTCTCGTTATCTCGTAACGCGAGATAGAGAAGAGTCACTCTGTCTCACCACGGCCGTGTCACTCTGTCCTCGCAGCCTCACTTTTATCTAATTTCCTTCTTCAGATTTCTCCTCAGAGCGCTGCCTCAGCGGGGATGGAGAGGCCATGTTAATAGTCAAGAACCCCTCGGCACTTCTCCTCCCGCCTCTCTCGTTATGTGCCTCTCCTCTACGATACACATTTAAAAATGAAATGCTTGTTAAAATTGTGTGCATTGTCTGTACCCTTTCCCGCTCAACAGGCCATCACAGCTATCTCTGCGCTGGGCGAAATGACTGCATTGTGGACAAAATTCGGCGGAAAAATTGCCCCGCGTGCCGCCTCCGAAAGTGCTACCAAGCGGGAATGATGCTCGGAGGTAACCATTTGGTTGGGCTGCTTTTCTGGATTTCACTTGGCATTGATGGAGAAAGCTTTGTGATTTGTTATCATCCAATCTAACCGAGCCTTGCACTCATGTCACAGGCAGGAAGCTGAAGCGTTTCGGGGCCTTGAAAGCCTTGAGTTTCGCCCCGTCCCTGATGTTCCAGTCCCACTTGGCCATGTCCAGCGACAACCAGTCCTTGACCTCCATGTCCTGCATACCGGGCATCCGTGAGGTGCAACTCTCCCAACAGATCCTCAATATCCTGGAAAACATCGAACCGGAGACCGTGTACTCCGGCTATGACAGCAGTCAGTCCGAGGGTCCGCATATTCTGCTCAACAGCCTCAACAGGCTGTGCGAGAAGCAGCTGCTGTGGATCGTCAAGTGGTCCAAGGCCCTGCCAGGTAACGGCTCTCTGCAGCTCAGGGTCAGCACAGTTGTCGCCAAGAGGAACCACCGGCAGTACTCGCCGAAGGTCTCAGACTGAAACGCTGGCTGAGATAGAAGGCTATACTCATCGGTTAAGAGAGACGTGATTCCAAGTGATATAAAAAGCATTTCTTTGTAACAGGAAATGGTAAAATTAAAGATTTTTGAAAAGCTAAAAACAAATAATAGTACTGGTAATCCAATGTGATGCACCAATGGTGCACAGATGTTATTACAGGTTACATCTACCATGAAAGAATATATATAAATGAACTCTTCTTTTCTTTCTTAGGGTTTCGTAATCTTCACATCAGTGACCAGATGACCCTCATCCAGTACTCGTGGATGAACCTGATGGTGTTCTCTCTCGGATGGCGCTCCTTTCAGAACGTCACCAGTGAATATTTATACTTTGCACCTGATCTGGTTCTTAGTCAGTAAGTCACCATCATCACACGGGGCGGTTTCAGTTGGCTTTTCATTCCTGATGATTTAGAGTTACAGTTGTTTATTCACAAAGCAGTGATTTTGGATTTTTTTAAAAAAAGGAGGCTCTAGGTTTTTCAGAAACATGAACCATTTTGTGTTTGTTTTTTTCCATCAGGGAGCAAATGAGGAGATCTCCGATTTACGACCTCTGCCTGGCAATACAGTTCATCCCCCAAGAGTTTGCTAATCTCCAAGTGACCCGCGAGGAATTTCTCTGCATGAAAGCCATAATATTACTCAACACAGGTATAGGCCTTCCTGAAGCCTTCCTTCAAGATGGCTCACTTTTCACTTTGTGTTAAACCTTCTTGTTTGAATTAACAGCACGCCGCCGTAATGTTGCAAACAGAGATGCGAAGCTTTGACGATCATCTACTGGAGAGCTGCACGATAAAGGGAGTGATTCACAGGGCGACTGCACCGTGACAAGATTTATGTAGCAGCTGCCATCAAGTCATAGTTTTACACCGACTGAAAAACACTGTTTTTAACAGCAGCACGTTACCTCTAATGCGGCCATTGTTGACTGTTGCATTTCCATAGTGTTTGTTGAGCTTTTTTTTCTACATTTATAAGTGTCCTCTCTGTTTACAGTGCCTCTTGAGGGACTCAAGAGTCAGGCAGCTTTTGAAGACATGAGACAAAACTACATCCGGGAGCTGACCAAGGCCATCCACATGAGGGAGAAGGGCTTGGTGGCGAGCTCACAGCGATTCTACCACCTCACCAAGCTGATGGACGCCATGCACGATGTACGCTCCCCCCTCCGTAGATCCGAGTACAGCAGCATTGACCCACGTCTTAATCTAACCGCTACTTTAATGAGTACCGAGACAAACATGAATGTCTCCTTTTTTTTGACAGATAGTGAAAAAGGTCAACCTGTACTGTCTGAGCACCTTCATCCAGGCAGACGCCATGAGAGTGGAGTTTCCAGAGATGATGTCAGAGGTCATTGCCTCCCAGCTTCCCAAAGTCCTGGCGGGCATGGTGAGGCCCCTGGTGTTCCACACCAAGTGATGAAGACAACGCACAACGTCACAAATCTGCGGAGACATCTTGTGCCTGGGTTATCCACCCCACAATTACTGGATTCTTTATAGCCTTCACATATTGTAGTCAGTCATCTGTACTTTCCCAAACGGCCTCTAATGGTCTGTATCGGTGAAACACGTTCCTTAAAAATATAGTTTTCAGTACGGAATATTATAAATTTGGAAGCGCTAGTCAATGAAGCTCCTGTTTAATTAATTCTGGTGTATCCAACCGTTCCCATCCTACCGCTTGTGTGTAGATGGTACAAACTAGCTGATAAAAGTAGGTTTTGAGAACCACTAGATGATATTTTTGTACAGAAGCTGAAAGAAATACAAACAAAAAGGTCAAATATTCATCGTTCTCAGCAACATTGTTATGCAGGAGACAGTGAAACCTGCCACTAATGAAATTATTTTAGGGTGACTCACTGCACCAACTTCCGGGAGGAGAAACTGGGAAGATATTTGTAAACATATTTGATTAAAAAAAAAAAAAAAAATGTGTTATTTTCATTTTAGAACAAGAGATTTGAAGTGAGTGTAAAAACTAAATCCCCATTTCACAATGAAAATCGTTAAAATGTCTGGATCAGCATATAAAAACAAGTGATCTCCTTCTCCTTGACACATGGTATTACTCAAAGTTAACTGCAACTAAAACCAGTTCATATCTTTTTGAGCTGTACAGACAGCACAGATAAATGTGACCATATATATATAAAGCTTCCCTGGTGGAAGTAATAGAAACCTGTAATTAAATACATTTTCATGTCATACTAGAGAACTGCATCATATCACAGTATAACCTCAGATTAAAAAACAAACAACCATCACAAAGTAGGGGCACAAAGAGACAACTGTATTTTACATTGCAAATGTTAACACACTCACGCTATATTCCCACTATTCATTCTGTCTTACATGTTGAACTTGGAGTGTCTCACTGCAGTGAGCACAAGTGAAACTCACCAAGTGTGACAAAGAATTTGGACCACAGGTCTAATAAATCACGCTGTTTATTTATGGACATGTTTATGCACCGTTAATACAGTAGATGATTAGCAAGGAAACAAGCTTGCCATATATATATATATTAAAAAAAAGAATGGCAAATATTACATATTTAGGATATGAATATCACTTCCCCTACAAAGTCAGACTGTAGGGGAGTATTACTCCAGCATGAATGCTTAAGGTCGCCTCGCACTCTTAAATATGTGAATAGAAAAGAACATCATGATCCTGGTACGTGCCAGATTTCAAAAGCTTTCCCCCAAAAACATTTTCATCCACCAGAGAAAGTAAAAGTGTTGCTGATTCTTTTCTTTCTTTTGAGCTTTTTCTTCTGAAATAGTATCACTTTTTTCTTTCAATAATCATGGACTTTATACTTCGGAAATGTTGTGACAGTAATATAAAATTGTAATATGAAATGGTATGTTTAACATAATATAATCTGATACATGTATGTTATCATCACTGGTACACTAGTGTACCAGTGTACCAGGGAGTACAGTACCACAAGAGGCATTACACCTCATTAAAATAGCATTCATGGCATTATTTTAAAAAAACAAAACATTTTTTACATAGGGCATATATTTGATGTGATCATTTATAGGAATAAACAGTTAAACAAAGTAGATATTTTTGATTAGCAACTACAGAAGAACTCATGAGCATGAATGTACAGTACAGTACCGTGTAGCTAACCAGAAAGTGCTCTGCAGCAGTGAGCAGCTTCAGTGGATGAACAACAATCACAGGCCACAAACAGGAACGTTAAGGTGCAAACCCATTCTGCTTTTTCTGTTAGACTCTAATATATTAGATTAGCGTCACTATTTCAAATCACAGTTTGCTTCAATAGAGAATGTTTAGAAAACTTGCAAACCTCCATTGATGAAGAGGAAAGTGTTCTGTCGATACAATGGGGAAAGTTAAAAAGATAATATATTTCTGAGAATAAAACGTGTGAAATTGATTGTGATTGTTTTGGTAATTCTGTAGGCTAAAAACATCAGTGCAGTCGACGGGTAATATATCTTCATCTAACAATAATCTCATACCTATTTCTTCTGAAACCTTGTGAATCTCTGCAGATTCCCCAAACATGTCATAATATAGTCATAACAGAAAGGGGAGGTACATTTTTGGGGATTTCTAGCTCTGTTACAGCTAAAGCAACTACTGCCCTGCTTGGTGTCTGCTAGGACTATGCAGAAACCAGCTACCAGCAATAATAGGAACATTACAACAATCAGCCACATCGTGTATCGTCTCTTTTTTTCTGTTCTTCATGGATGCCATGAAAAAGATGCAATGTTTACCAGCTTGTTAGAGGAAGACGACATAGTTCTCAGGGATTAAACCTGTTTTCCCCTCGTACGTTGCTTGGAGCCAGCCGGGTTCAACAGAGGCGTAGACTACAGGACAAAAAGACAGACAATGCTGAAATTGAAGAGAAGCCACGAGTGGACTCTTGATCTGATTAGAATCACTGAGCCTGTATTTGGCTACACTATTTCCCAGACTTATTGAATGGCAGCAAGAAAAAAAAGATGCTATTAGGCAGAAAAAATAAACATGTAAGGCGGATTGAAAAGACTCTGGGTCAGCCTGCTCTTTGAATTCAGTCCCTACGGAGTATTTTAGCAAGCATGAAGGCAGGATCGCCCTCTCTTAATCACTCACATTCAGCATAAGCCATGAAAACAACAAGGTCAATTGTTGCTCAGATGCACCGCGACGAAGAGGAAGAGCTTTAAAAATCATCTGCTAAAACAATCTGGCAGAGATCTGCTGAGTAAGGATGTGGAGAAAACCGGCGCGTTAATGCCGAGAGGAATAAAAGTACTCTGCCTGCTGCTAAGTGGTGGGGAGCGTTTGTTGACGTTTTTGCATTTGGCTGCTGGCTCTGTTGCCTATGTTAACAAGGAAACAGGCACTGGAGCCTTCCATCACTAGGTTACAGTGACCTGTCTGCATTGGTTGTGGGCCAAGTCATCTCCTCTTGGAAACGGAAAGAAGCAATAAAAAAAAGTGTATATACTTCAAGCAGTGCATATGGGGGTGTCGTGCTAAGAGCAAAACAATGATTTTATGCCTCCACAAAACACTGGGGATTAGCCAAGTCCTTGCTGTGTGCTGCTGCCAGGACACAGCAGACTGTCTGTTGAGTACACAGCAGACTGTCTGTTGTGTACTCTGTCCAAGTGTCCAATCAGCCTACAGATGGAGGCTTGTGTGCTGTTGTGGGCACTTCTTGCACGAAGGTTAGCTGTCATCCCAAGCACATAATGTTTGCCTTGCTGTTGGCGCCGCTTACCGTTTGTGAAGTGCGCCCCCTGGGGGAAGCTGAGCTCGTGGCTGTGCTCGGCCTCGCAGGAATACATCGCCTTGGCGTCTCTGTAACGACAAGACAAAAAAACGGGGGGAGTTGAAGAGACGACGGCGGCATCGATTAGGTGACAACTGTTTGTAGATGGCGTGATGTACAGTACCGGCCCACCGGAACAGACTGCGGTGATGAGGCCGTTTCAAAAAGCAGTGCTCTGGCAGCGACCCTGAAACAAAAAAGTTCAGTCCACTTAATTGTATGAAGGGTAAAATAAACAGCTGGTTTGGATAATAATACCTGTGATCACATGATCAGGGTAAGTAAAATACTAAAAGTGTTATCTATTTTGATGTATCATTATCTATAAAATGCAATGCTGCCATGGTGAGGAATCCAAACCTAACAAAAACGGTGCACTTTCTCTTGGCCCTGCCACAATTCTTTATTGTCTTAAATTGAGGTGAACGATGGGTAACGACACAATACGGGAGGTTTCCTTCCTCCGGCGCTGTGCTGAATAGAGCTTAAACCATATAACAAGGCTGCGGTTGACCCCGCGCTCTGCAACCTCGGACTCAAGGGGACAAAAGAAGCCCAGGGCGAGCTGAGCGGGTGCTATGCAAGGAAACTACTTGAGAGACCGTGTGACTGGCTTCTTAAGACATGACGAGTCAAACAATCTATTTGTCCCGGTAGTGCAGACTGCTGCTGGGTCACATCAACCCCGGAGCTGGCAGAGCGTAATTAAAGCCAGCTCTCCCACCAGAGAGGGAAAGACATAAATCTCCTAACACACACTCATCTGATCTCAGAGACCTCTCAATGCTCAACGCTCGTAAACAGACGAAGGAGGAGGCTGATGACTCAGAGGGGAGAGACAGGGAGAGGGTGGGAGACAGAGAGAAATGTTGCTGAACTATTGTCCTCGAGCCTTGGCGTTTATTTTCGTGGAGGGACATGAAACTGCACATGAACACATTATATAAACTGTATATCCACGAAACTACCAGAGGCATCGGAGGACAGCAACCAGCAACTACTTTCATTATGAATTGATCTGTCTGTTGTTGTTTTGGAATAATCAATGAATCATTTTGTCTATAAAATGACAGGAAATAGTGAAAAATGCCCATTACATTTTCCCAGAGCCGGTTTTCTCAGACAAACAGTACAAAAAGCTAATATTACATTTATAATGATTTAAAAAAAAGCAGAAAATCCAGCTTGAACCTGTTGAATGTTTGGCGTCTTTGCTCAATAGATAACTCAATAATCACAATTGTTGTTGATATTCTGACAATTGGCTCATCAATGATTACACTAATGCATTCAGCACTGGTTGTTAGGTGAGTAACAATGAATCAAATGTCCACGAGATAAGATTTCATGGATGGCAGTACGAGTTCTAATGAATGATTAGCGGTTTAAAAGCCATTACACTGAGCCGGGCCTTTGGTAGCCGTTGCTGACTGAGGCCTCCGTCCTGCAGCGGATCCCTCGTTTTGGGGGAAGGTCTGGGTGCTCCGAGGGCTTCAAACTCTCGTTGGGCTCCAGTGTTGACAGACTTTGGACGGATCCAATGCAGCTTCTGTGGCCTTGAGGGAGACAAACAAGTAATACGTCTCCTGGTAAATGACAGAAAGACATTAAAGCTTGATGCTAAAACAGCCCACACACTCACCAAGTGACTCAAATAAATCATGGAAATAATATTTTACCACTCCTGTTCGAAATGTGCTGTAGTCAAGTGAGTGCTGTCAGTCTGCAGTCCTGCAGGACTAACTAATGACAATATAACTATCTAGTTTATGAATTCTGTCCTGAAAGTGACAGTTTCATGAGGTTTCTCTCCGCTTCATTACGGCACAGGAAACAAAAGCAACGATCGGCACAACTCGGCGGTTCTCCTACCTTCGGATATATGCAGTGATTTCAGAGAGGGGCCGGCGGAGCGGTTCAGCAGTGCTGGCCTGAGGTCAATGCGGCAGTGCGGGGCTTTTTTGGGGGCGGGAGACAGCCTGGGCGCCGTGCTCACCGAGGACAGGCTGAGAGCGTCCTCCGACTCTCCATCTGTTCGCCCCGCGTCCTCCCTGGAGCTGGACTCTGGGCTGCTGACCCACGCGGCGCTGGCCCTGGGGCCGATCGAGAGCTGCGACGGCGTTCGGCGGAGGTCCAGGAGCGACTTGTCCCTGGCCGGAGCAGAGCAGGCTGTTTTGGAGGAGCTGTTCTGCTCAGAGGAGTGGGAGGACAAAGACTCCATGCTGCCCATGGGGGTGCTGCTTGGACTGCTGCTGAAAGTGTCACCTATGCAGGGACCAGAGAGGAGGCATAAAAGGCCCTCATTAAAACCTGCTGAGTGATTGAGGTTACTTTGTGGTTTAAAGAGATTATATTAATCTGGAAGCTATACCGACTTTCCACCTCAACATATTTAAAAAAAACATGAGCTAATATGAGGTCAAGCTTTCAGAAATGTGGTGCAGATGTCTGGGGGTTAATTAAAGGCCGCCGGTGGGGTTTTTCGGAAATTGTGGTGCGATGACCTGCGGCGGTAATCACAGCGTTGTTACTCACTTTCTGCATCTGCCAGGCACAGTGTTGGAGTGTAGAGGCTGCGGGGCTTCCTGGGCCCCGTGGACAGACAGATGGCCCTGCTCCTGCGAGGGCCGGGCCGGCTCTGGGGTTGGGGCAGGGGCACGTTGGGGTCCGGAGGCTGGTGAAAGATCTGGAGGTCCAGAGAGGAGCACTGATCATGACACAATCTGTGTATTCCTCACCAGTTCAGACTGGTATTCACATTGTTTTTGAGGTTTGTTACAAGTATTTTAAGACTCTCACTGTCGGATGAAATGTAACATATCAACGGTTTAACAATAATGCAATTTGCATATGCTGCACCGTGATAGAAGGTGCTATCCATACTGCCCTCCTGCATGCAGTGTCATGCTCAGTGTCTTGTAGTCAAGCATCAAGTGTTCTTGTAAATATGGAAACAGCTTGTGTAAGAGCAAAGGCATAAACAGCTCACCTTGCTGCAGTTCTCGATAAGTATTTCCATCACAATGTTCTGAAACTTGATGTTCATCATGGCGGCCACGGTTTCCTCTTGTGAGCGCATCAGGGTGGGCCCAAAGATGACGCCCAGGTTGGACACCGTCATCAGGTTGGACTGGCTTTGTGTGGAAACTCTGCAGGTACAGGACATGGGTGTAAGATGCTGTTCTGTCCTGATAACGAAAACTCTTAATACTGACAGTATTAGAAACACCTACAAATGCATTTGGGTGTACCTGGACTGTGAAGACAATTTAATCTGTCTCAGCAATTTTTATCTTCTCTCATAGGGCTGTTAATTTTTTTTTTTTTGTTAAATGGCTGCAGCGTAACGGATTCATTACAGGGATACGTACGTGACGAGGTGCTTCATAAGCAGCTCCAGCATTTCCTTGTTCCTGTCGGGCAGCTTATGAACCAAAGCATGGACAGCACACACCCTGTAGTTCTGGTCATCTGACTCTGAGGAGAGGCAAATGGATATAAACTGATCAAGTGGCTCATGCACTAAATGACAACTACCTGACAATTATGGACTTTTAGAATGGTAATATTTTGTATTACAGGGACTGTGATCAGAGGGTTAGAATATTGTCTTGTAATTACCATGTTGTCACATTAATGTGCGGCCAATATGAATGAAGCTGTATATCAACTTTTAACATTCAATTTTATCAACTTCAATTACACTTGTATGTAAAAAGGAAAAAAAACAAATTAAAATTGTGGTGAAAAAAAAACATGTCAAATGTAGCTCTTCAAATTCACATTCAACTTGAGACACTATATCCAGAGGTGTAGAAAAAAAATCCCAAATGAGTAGAGATTAAACCAATTGAAGAGAGCTATGTGATGCATATGGCACGGAGCCATTTCCAGAGACGGACACTTTTTAAATTGGGTTCAGTCTTTGCTCATTTCACTTCCCCGCCGTCAGGGCCTGGGCTGCTGCGCCCACAAAGACATCTCATTCCAAATGAATACATTTGACACGCAGTTCAGTTTGAGATACAAATTCACAATATGCGAGACAATTTCAAATCTGATCAAAATAAATGCAAAAATATGGGATTTTCTAATCCAAATGCACAAATACAATGAAGCCATACTTGATCAAACACCCCACATTTAAACTGAGGAAATGTCTTATATTTGACCAAGAATCTCTCTTTTATGTGTAATAATAAAATAACAAATGGTGAAATATATATCTAGTCATAACTACCTAGTAGTAACTTATAGTAGTAACTTTGCATGACTTACTGACAGCCAGGATAAAATCTTTGTGGAGCTTGAAGGTCATCAGAGGCTCAGAGAGACACCTGGTGAATGGAGAGAACAGTTGGCATTAGTTCCCTGAGTGACACAGGTCTTTTGAATGCAGAGACCTCTCTCTGTGAGTCACTGGCAGCGCAGAATGCATGACCAACACCGGGGAGGTTTCAAAGAGGTATTATGGAGATAATGGTGATTCCTGAAAGCTGAGGACGAGCAGCTAACCTGAGGTAATTCTTCAGGCCGCTGGTAATAGTCTTGTTGTCCCACGTCTCTGGATCCAGGTCCATATCCACGGGTGCCCTGGATGCTATTAGAAAGCACATTTTTATTTTTACCACAGTGTGCAAGCTGTACATTTCGTGGAGAAACAGACACGGCCTGACAGGTTGCCTCAATAGGCATTAAAAACACTGTCTGTCTTCTTGTGGGGGGGGGGGGGGCTAGAGAGGAGAATCTGAAATGAATGCACGCGTACAAGCATGGTGTCTCACGGAGATTTGAATAAATCACTCAGACATTTCCTGTTCAAATGTTCATGCAAACAGGATTACCTTTGGAACATCTAATAAGGCGATGACAGAGTAATATGGGACCAGCTGTTATACGCTGTCACACCACAAGGAGGACCTCTTCCCTCACTCTGCAGGCTCACTTTGTGTTTGCTCAAAGCTCCAGATTCAACTTGAGATGGTGGACAAAATAAATGAGCTGTTCATACACGGAAGCTTTAAAAGCCACAGAAAGACATAACGGTCAATCAGGCATTTGGAAAGGACAGAATTATCTAGTTAGTTTTGCTACATGACATGTGAGGATGTATATACAACACAAAGAAATACTGTAATAAGAAAAGCCTTAACATTGACAATATTTTACATTTTGGCTCAAGTTCCTTTGAACTTTTATTCTACTGAGCTGTGTTAAGCATATGTTATTTGCTACTTACAAAAGACTGTGGTCATCAGCTTCTGTACTTTGGAGTTGACTCCTCCAATTCTGTACAGTCCCATTGTGTTCAAGCCTGCGTGGCAATGAGAGGGAAAATGAAAGGATTGGAACAAACATTTTCTGTTTAGTTAAGACTCATGCAAATGCAATGTGTCGTCATGTCCACTAATGAACGAAGCGCATTGTTATTCATAATGACAGCCAGGCTGCACTCAGGTGACAGTTGAAAGCGCGGAGATCTAAAATGCCTCACCTCTAATCTCCACCAGGTCGATGCACTTCCTCACGAAGTTAAAGCCCGCCTCATTAAGAAACGCTGTAACACAACATCATAATAAGGTTGATGCGTGATGGAATAACAAGATGTTTGTGCTCTGACTAATAACGCACAGCCCTTATGCTGAAAGGCTCCGCTGTGTCAGCTGAGTGGGTGTACGTCAAGTTATTGTGTCAATGAGTGGAGAGGGCCGTATGTGACAACGTATGTGTTTGATATGTGCGTGCTGGGGATTTCTATTCAAAGTCTTAGAAAGCTAAATTTATGCATTTCAATGATGAAAAGGGATTGGAAAAATGTATATGAAATATATATACAGTGGGTACGGAAAGTATTCAGACCCCTTTAAATTTTTCACTCTCTTTCATTGCAGCCATTTGCTAAAATCAAAAAAGTTCATTTTATTTCTCATTAATGTACACTCAGCACCCCATCTTGACAGAAAAAACAGAAATGTAGAAATTTTTGCAAATTTATTAAAAAAGAAAAACTGAAATATCACATGGTCATAAGTATTCAGACCCTTTGCTGTGACACTCATATTTAACTCACATGCTGTCCATTTCTTCTGATCCTCCTTGAGATGGTTCTACTCCTTCATTGGAGTCCAGCTGTGTTTAATTAAACTGATTGGACTTGATTAGGAAAGGCACACACCTGTCTATATAAGACCTTACAGCGCACAGTGCATGTCAGAGCAAATGAGAATCATGAGGTCGAAGGAACTGCCCAAGGAGCTCAGAGACAGAATTGTGGCAAGGCACAGATCTGGCCACGGTTACAAAAGAATTTCTGCAGCACTCAAGGTTCCTACGAGCACAGTGGCCTCCATAATCCTTAAATGGAAGAAGTTTGGGACGACCAGAACTCTTCCTAGACCTGGCCGTCCAGCCAAACTGAGCAATCGTGGAAGAAGAGCCTTGGTGAGAGAGGTAAAGAAGAACCCAAAGATCACTGTGGCTGAGCTCCAGAGATGCAGTAGGGAGATGGGAGAAAGTTCCACAAAGTCAACTATCACTGCAGCCCTCCACCAGTCGGGGCTTTATGGCAGAGTGGCCCGACGGAAGCCTCTCCTCAGTGCAAGACATATGAAAGCCCGCATAGAGTTTGCCAAAAAACACATGAAGGACTCCCAGACTATGAGAAATAAGATTCTCTGGTCTGATGAGACCAAGATTGAACTTTTTGGCGTTAATTCTAAGCAGTATGTGTGGAGAAAACCAGGCACTGCTCATCACCTGCCCAATACAATACCAACAGTGAAACATGGTGGTGGCAGCATCATGCTATGGGGGTGTTTTTCAGCTGCAGGGACAGGACGACTGGTTGCAATTGAAGGAAAGATGAATGCGGCCAAGTACAGAGATATCCTGGAAGAAAACCTCTTCCAGAGTGCTCTGGACCTCAGACTGGGCCAAAGGTTCACCTTCCAACAAGACAATGACCCTAAGCACACAGCTAAAATAACAAAGGAGTGGCTTCGGAACAACTCTGTGACCATTCTTGACTGGCCCAGCCAGAGCCCTGACCTAAACCCAATTGAGCATCTCTGGAGAGACCTGAAAATGGCTGTCCACCAACGTTCACCATCCAACCTGACGGAACTGGAGAG